GATTATTATTAAAAAATTTTTTAATAATTGAATTCCTGAGAAGAATTTTATAAAAATCTATTTAAATAATTGATTTTTTCGAAAACTGTTAAGAAAATTCTGTTTTCAATAATTGAATTTCTTTGAAAATTTTATTTATGAAAATAATTGAATTCCTGAGAAGAATTTTATTATTTATAAAAATAATTGAATTCTTGCGAGGAATTTTATAAAAATCTATTTAAATAATTGATTTTTTTCGAAAAATATTAGGAAAACTCAGTTTTAAATAATTGAATTCCCGTGAAAATTTTTTTATTTATGAAAATAATTGAATGTTTGCAAAGAATTTTTTATTAAAATAGAAGATATATTAAAAATCATTGAATTACGAAAAATTTGTTAAAATAATTGAATCATTTTAAAGAATTTAAAAATTTTTTGAATTTTTTCTAATAACTTTATTAAAATCTTTTAAAATAATTTTTTTATTTCAACTCTTAACAAATTTAAAGTAGTGTTAATTTTCAAATATGGATAAAAGTAGCTTTTAGTGTAACAAATAAAAAAAAATATCCAAATAGTAGCAAATCGTAAAAAAAAAGTAGTAAATAGTAGGTTTTAGTAGATGAGTGCAAGGCCTGTTATCTAAATTTCTGGTATCAATTTGCTATTTTCAAGAAAACTGTGTTATTACTTTTTTTTATTAATATTTTTTCTATTATCATTAAAATTATAATGTGAGATCAAAATTGTTATAAATTTTCATTATTTTTCTCGTAATTTATTAATACATAATTCACAAGAAAAAAATCCTGGTGAAAATGAACCAAATCGAATTACTGACAGTTTGATGCGATAATGATGATAACTGAATAAAGATTTGTTACATAAGACAGGGTAAATTAATGTCAACTCAATTTCTTGACAAGTTGAAGTCTGGGGAAATTAATAGGATTAGAAAAGTAGTGTGTAATTTCAAGTGGAAAGTAAATAACCTACTAAAAAATAAATTGTTCAACTCAAGCAAAATTCTCTATTTCTTCACTGAAAGGTGAAGAAATAGAGAATTTCGCTTGAGTTGAACGATTTATTTTTATTTATTAACGATTTATTTACTTTTTAACTCAAGCAAAATTCTTTATTTCTTCACCTTTTGGTGAAGAAATAAGGAATTTTACTTGAGTTGAACGATTTATTTTTATTTATTAACGATTTATTTACTTTTTAACTCAAGCAAAATTCTTTATTTCTTCACCTTTTGGTGAAGAAATAAGGAATTTTACTTGAGTTGAACGATTTATTTTTATTTATTAACGATTTATTTATGACTCAAACAAAATTTTCTATTTCTTCACCCTTTGGTGAAGAAATAAGGAATTTTGCTTGAGTTGAACGATTTATTTTTATTTATTAAATTCTCTATTTCTTCACCTTTTAGTGAAGAAATGAGGACTTATTTATTTTTTAACTCAAGCAAAATTTTCTATTTCTTCACCTTTTGGTGAAGAGAATAGAGATCTCCCAATTGGAAACAATTTTTATTCATTTACTATACATATATTTTTCTTTTATAAATAAAATAAATAAAATAATTAAAATAAATTAATGTTAAATTCGAAAGAAATGAAAACTTGGATGAAAATAAAAATAGTCAAAAATTCAAAAAAAGTAGTTTTGATTTGATTTAGGGCAAGTTTGTGTAATTATTAATTAATTTCTTTTTGGAAAATAAATATATTTGGGTCAATATATCGATGAGGTTTATAACTTTTAAATAACCACCTGCAATATAAACTCTCTCTCTCGACAATTTCAATTTGTGCGGGGAAGCACCTTGATCAAGTTCAAGGTCTTCCGAATATTATGTAAGTCCTGGTAAAACCAGCTTGTGATCTTTCTCCGCACGTTCCTTTTCATTATTGAATCGTCAAGCGTGTAGGTTGTCACATTACACTGTCACCGGATGTTGACTTCCTAATATATGCTGTACACTCTTTTTTTCCTATTTTTTTCTTCTCTTTTTATTATTTGGGACAAAGAAAATTAGTTCGTTTATATTTAATATTATTTACGATTGTACTCATAATAACACTAAAAATTACATTCAAAATTTAAACAATAGAGAAATTATTTTCGAAAATAGAAAGTTGGTGTAGTCACTTAAAAAATATTTTCGAAATTTAGGTCAATTTTTAATTTGAGTATAATTTATTTAATCGTACTATAAATACTTCATAACAAGTAGTAATTTATTATTGTAGAAGGGGGAATTTTAATTTATCTTCATTAATCAATTTTTTACACTATTGCTATCATTTATAAATTAATCAACTCAAATTTTTTGGTAATTTAAATTTTTTTTAATGTAATTTAAAATTTTTTCCTTCTTTTTTTTATTATTTCCTCAAATTAATCTAATTTCGAAATAACATTTTATTTGGCTCAAATAAAAAGCTTATTTGAACCGAATAAAATTTTCTTAAATTCAAATAAAATTTATATGAACCAAATGAAATTTTATTTAAAATGAAATAAAATTTATTTAAACGAAATGAAATTTTATTTATGTTGAATAAAATTTTTATTTAAAACAAATAAATTAACTTACAATTAGTTGTCTCTGAGGCAAATTGTACATTTACTTAAGTCAAATAAAATATTATTTATGATTTAAATAAAATTATTCTTTGGGTGTAAATAATTATACGTACTAATTAAATGAAATGTGAATATAAATATTTAATAAATAATAATTTCAATAAAATAATTTCAATGAAAGAAAAAGCAACTAAAATATTGTTCCTTTCAAGAGACAATAAAGGTCAAGTAAATGTTTTTTTTCTGCAGTCGATTGATTTATTATTATAGGTACAAAAAACTGACAAGCGGATATTATTTTTTTTTTTACTCTTTTTCTATAACAAAAATTGCAGACTCGACATTTTGTAATATTTTATATAAATATCGTCAATATTTTATCTGATACTAAATCTAATGTGTATAAAATATGAGGTAATTAAAATACGAGATAGTAATATGTTTAAAAATAGGTAATAATTAATAATAATTTATTATTACTATTATTATTATTATATTATTACAATTATTTATATTTTTATTAATATTTTTATTACCTATTATTATTATTTTTTTTTATTCACAATCGACATTGTAAATAAATAAATAAAATAAATAAATGAAATTAATTAGAGATTCAATATAATTTAATGTGAAATCTTTTTTTTTAAATTTTCGAAAAAAGTAGAAATTCTCTACTGAAATAAGAAGGAAACTGCGGGATCTCGGGATCAACTTTCCTTTTCGGATGGAATCAAAAATAATTTTTTGTCTTTTTTAGTGATTCTAAATCACTTGGATTACACTCTGACGGAAAAGTAATTTCTGCGGCAATTATAGGCCTTATCCACCTTTCTCTTCATCTTTATCGCTGCATATTAAAAGAGTTGTGGGTGAGTGCACCTGCTCGTAAAATAAATTGGTAAGCGTGGGACATAAAGGTTACGTATTGTATGTACACGTGTGTGTTTGTTATGTGAACAACCAAGTAATCATTTCTAACTCTAATGTTGATAGGCATTTACCATTTTTTCCCAAAATTTTCATTTTTTTTTTCATTTTTTCCCAAATACCAAATTTCTTTGGAACTTTCTCTTCTTTCAGTTCAATTTTCCCTTTTTTTGTTGTATAAATTTTTTATTCATCTCTCACTTTTAGTCCAATTTCCCCTTTTTGTTTATAAATTTTTATTTATCTCTCACTTCTAGTCCAATTTTCCCTTTTATGTTTAAAAATTTTCATTTATTTTATTTATATATATAAAGAAAAGATGTTTTTTTTATTCTTGTGGCCTATGGGCCACAACTTTTCTCTATTATAAATGGTTGAAAATAAAGGAGTATTTACACTTCTTTTTTTTATTTATATAAATATTTTTTATTTTTAATGTTAGTTTAATGTTTATTTTTATAATTTATATAAGAGCACTACCAGTATGAATAAATACGGGTACCTATATGTAATATTTAATATTTTATATACATTACTGTTTATTTTTATAATTTACACAAGACCGCTACCCGTATACAAGTAAACAAATAATTTATAAATAAAATTTGTGAATAAAAACTTTTTTACTTTTTATAACTAATTTATTATTATTTATTTATTTATTTATTTTACTAACTTTATTATTTATGACGCGCTTCGAAGAAAGGTGTAGAGGTTCAAAAAAAATTTACGTTCAAGAAACGTTTTTAAAACGTTTTATGTCTGTCAAATTAACATTTTATAACATTTTAAGTTTTTTATTATTATTTATTATTATTAATTATAATTTATTATTATTTATAATTATTTATTATTATCTATTAGTATAATATTATTTATTTTCAATAGATATTTTAACTGTAAATTAATTACACCGTTTATTCGAAATTTACATAAAAGCCAACGTTTTTCTATTATTATATTTACTTGAAACAAGAAAATTGGATATTTGAAATCAATAATTTCAGTATTTGAAACAAATATGAATTGAACCATATTTAATTTACTTATATAAAAATTGTTTGATTCAATGAAATATTTATTTGATAATACACCATTAATTGGAATCAAATAAATTTTTTTTATTTTCAATTTTTCGATTAATTATTAAGAATTATATTGCTTAAGAATTCTTTTCGAAGTGAATGATCCTAGAAAATGATCCTAGCAATGATCCTAGGCGGAAAATACCTAACGAAAAAAAATTCTGTCGCGAAGAATCGAACCCTAAACCCCATTGCTAGAAATCGAGTACGAAAGCCGCTTGGCTACATCACTTAATTACAAGAAACGATGAATATTCCCGAATCGAGTTAGTTTCGACTTTAAATTAGAAAATTATCAGTTTTTTCGTTTATTACAAAAGTAAACTTATTAGTACACTTATTAGTAAACTTATTATTAAACTTATTAGTGAACTTAATTGCGAAAAAAAATAAAAATTCCCCTACCTCACTGAATAGGTCCTTCCTGATTTGGAGGCCATTGCACTTGACGCGACGATGCAGTGGCGTGGCTTCAAGATCGATTTTCCACACGCGGAAACACTCCACCATCCACCCTCGCGAGATTTTGACTGCGTGCCTTCTATATCTATGTAGAATTCCGTAGAATTCCTCTACTTGTCCTCGAATAGCACCATCATCATCATCCCCCTTCCTTGGAAACTGCTTCTCCCGCACAGTGCGCAAAAATTCCTCCCTCTCAACACACCCCCTTTCCTTCTTCTTCTCTTCGAATCGATATAATAGGCGCAGTGGCGCCAAATCTCTGGAATTATCTTTTTTCCTCTCCTTTCTTCACCGATTTTTCATTTTTAAATTCCAGACAGTATTTTTACTAAAAAATTGTAAATTTTCCAGTGTGGATTATCATTTTCTCGAAAATTCTTGAATTTACTGCTCATATTATGAAGCGTGAAAATCACCATTAGGAGAACTGAGTGAATCTCATCATCTTTGTGAAACTTTTAGTTCTTGATTCTCTTTTCCATTTTTTTTTTTTTTTTTTTTTTTTTGCCACTGAATTATGAATTATTAGATCGATTAATCCAAGTTCTAGAAAAGATAATAGAAAGGAAAAAAAACCGGTCAGTGGGTCACTTGACAAATTTCATCACTCTCTAAATATTTCTTCTTTTCGCACTTTTTACTGTATCACAATTTTTTTCGCAGTATTTTTAAGGCTCTATTTTAGATTTTAATAAATAAATTATTAGTTGACTATTATTATTATTATTTAATCATTATTATATTATTATTGATTGGGAAAATAAATATTAATAAAATTAGATTAATATTACATTCAAATTAATATTATTAAAATTTAATTAATATTAAATTCAAAGCAATATTAATAAAATTTAATCTGTTGATACAATAAATATTCTCTCTTTTTGAATCAAAAATAATATTTTATTAAAATTCACTCTCTAAACATTTCTTCTTTTTACACTTTTTTCTGTATCACATTTTTTTGCCAGTATTATTGGGACAAAAGCAAAATTTTTAATAAATAAATTATTATTGATTGGTAAAATAAACATTTTTTCTATTTTAATAAATTAAATTTTTAATAAAATTCTTTTTTTAAATAAAATAAATTTTCTCTTTTTTAAATAAAAAAAAAAATATTTTATTAAAATTCACTCTCTAAATATTTCTCTTTTGTACACTTTTGTCTGTATCACATTTTTTTTTGCTTTTTTTATTATTTTTATTATTAATTTTTATTATTAAGACTGTATTTTATTTTTAATAAATAAATTATAATTCGGAAAAGTAAATATTTTTTTCTTCATTAATAAAATAAAAATCCTCCTTCTTTGAATCGAAAAAAATATTTCATTAAAATTTTATTCAACATTGTATAGAATTTAGAAAAAAATTTCTATTTCTGAAAAATTGTTTTTTTAGTGGAAAAAAATTTGTTTTTTTTTTTTTGAAAGGTCAATTCAAATTACAAGACGTTTAAGAAAATTACGATAGAAGTATAGTAGCGTTTTTTTAATGAATTGCAAGTGAATCGATTTTTGTTATCGTCAAGGTTCGATCAATCATTTTTTTAATTTAATATTATTGCAATTAGCAAATTGATGTTTGCGTTTTAAAAAATTGTTTATTAGGAAACGTCGAGAATTTTTCATTCGATTGTTGTTTAGATTAGATAATAATTTAATTGAAAACCGCTTAGAGAGATAAATTAATAATAAATAAATTTTAATCGAAAATTATTTTGAATTTTCAATGTAAATATAAATGTAAATTTATATTAAAAATATGAATTGTATAAGGTTTCTAAATTTAATATAAATATAAATTTTATATATTTAATATAAATTATAAATTTTTATCTATATTTATTTTTTCCCAATGTTTATTATTGCGAAAAAATACGAAATTCTCAGAAAAGAAGATTCAAAATTCAGTATACATTTTTTTTTATTTTACCATTGCACTAGTTTAAAAAAAAATTGTTTCTTCCACGCATTTCACTTTTTGCAAAAAATATTTCTATACACATTCGAAGTGCACAATGAATAATTAATGAAAAAAGCACAATGAATAAATAAAAATGCACAGTGAGTATAATAAAAAATATAAATAATAAAAATACACAATTGCAGTCACTTTATTGAGTAAAGTATGAAAAAAAGTGTACCTAATATATTTTTTTTTCTTCAATTCGAAACTTTTATTTTATTATTATTAAATAATTCACAAGACCGTGAATATTGAGGACGATCGATATTGATTTTGCAGAACCGCAAACGTTTTAAATATATATATTATTTCTTTTATAAAGGGAAAATAAGCTGAAAGCACGCGTTGCTGAAAATTGTTCCGGCAGTGTCTCTCTCTTGGTATAGCAGGTGTACGACTGCGCCTCAACATGCGAGAGGAATGAAATAAGCGAATGAACTGAGGGAAGGAGTCGCAGACTGTACGAGTGAGACTCAAGGCAAAGAGCGGGTGGTGAAGTTGCGGCGAAGGAGAGAGGGACGACGGTTCTATCACTGGGAGGGAAAAAAAAATACTAAGAGGGTCTTTTTTTCAAATCCGGAAAATGCATTTGTATCGCGAAAAAAAAATTTCTAGTTTGGCAAAAATTCACAAGCACAGAGAGAGAGAGATAAATGTCACCTTGCGAACCGTATCGACCGTATTGCAATGGAAGGAGGTGATAAAATTGCTACGCGCAAGGCATTATTGTCATGACATCTATTTATTTTCCTTCGAATGCGCGATAGTAATGCAAATGAACAACTTTAACAAATATTTAATTATTTTCTCTTATTTTCCTTGAAATGAGAAATTTTTTTTTTCTATTTTTCGGATTATAAGAAATTTCTTCAGGGTTTGTCATACAAAAAATTAATTTTCTTTTTCCCTGATTTACAGACAAAATTTTCACTTTTTTCCTGACCCTAAAGAATATTCTGATATTCTCTCCGAAACGTCGTCTTATTAAAAAAGATAGTTTCTTTTTTCATTTTTCCATCATCTTCTAAAAATCGAAAAAAATAAATAAATAAAATTTTCCATTGGATTTCAATTATTTTTAATACAATTTAAAATGAATTCCTCTCGAAAAATGTAATTATTTTCAAAAATTTTTTACAAGAATTCAATTACATTTCATAAATAATGAAATTCAATTATTTTCAAAATCTACTAAATTTTTATAAAATTTCTCAAATGAATTCAATTATTTAAAAAAATTGTAATAAAATTCGTTGCAAGAATTCAATTATTTTCATAAATTATAAAATTCTTCGCAAGAATTCAATTATTTAAAAAAAATGTAATAAAATTCGTTACAAATTCAATTATTTTCATAAATAATAAAACTCTTTGCAAGAATTCAATTATTTTTGCAACTAATAAAATTTTTCATATGAATTCAATTATTTAAAAAACTATAATAAAATTCGTTGTAAGAATTCAATTATTTTCATAAATAATACAATTTTTCATACGATTTCAATTATTTTTAATACAATTTTAAATGAATTCCTCGAAAAATGTAATTATTTTCAAAAATTGTATAAAAATTCGTTAAAATAATTCAATTATCAATTATTTTTAATAGTTTTTGCAAAAGTTTCTTAAGAATTTACAAGTCTATTTGTTTACAATTTAATTTTACAAAATTTTCATTATTCGGAAATTCTTCAATTAAATATTTAGAAAATAAAAACTTTAAATTATTTCAAAAAAAAAATTCAATTAAACTTTTTCAAAAATATTAATTATTAGGTATCTAAAATTTTAACTGAAATTTATTTTTAAATCAATTTTTATTAGAAAATTCTACGAGAATTCAATTATTTAAATACAAAAATGAAATTTAAAATTAAATTATTGAATAAATGAATTTTTCTCAAAATTGAATTTTCAGAAAGAATTTTATCAATAAATTTTTAAATAATTGAATTATTTCGACGAATTTTAAGAAAAATTTTCAAGAATAATTTTTTTTTTTTGAGGAGTTCGATTAAAAATTCTATTAAAAATAATTGAAATTCTACAATGAGTTTTATTATTCATGAAAATAATTGAATCTCTGTAAAAAATGTTATTATTTTTGAAAATAATTGAATTATTGCAAAGAAATTAATAAAAAAAAATCGTAAATAATTGAATTCCTGTGAAATTTTTATTATTTATGAAAATAATTGAATTTTTGCGAAGAAATTAATAAACAAAATGGTAAATAATTGAATTTCTGTGAAATTTTAATTATTTATGAAAATAATTGAATTATTTGCGAAGAAATTTATAAAAAATTTGTAAATAATTGAATTGTTTTGGAAAATTTTATTAAAATAGTAGATATATTGAAAATCATTGAATTGAGGAAAATTATTATAATTAATTGAAATTTTGACAAGAATGTTATTAAAACTTTTGAAAAGAATTGAATTTTAGAGAAGAATTTTATTATTTTTAAAGATAATTGAAATTTTGACTTGAATTTTTAAAAAATTTCTGAACATAATTGAATTTTTGCAAAGAATTTTATTAATTTTGGAAATAATTGAATATCTGCAATCATTTGTAACTTTTTTAAAATTCAATTTTTTCCAGTACTTTAATAAAAATCCCTGACTTTTTCCTGAATTTCCTGACCTGTGGCAACACTGTTTTTTTTATTTTTCTATTTACATTCGAAAACATTTTACCGTTTTCGCCCTAATGCGAAAAGTAAGTTTTTTGCCTCCTTAGTATCGAAAGCTGTCTATTTTCACTCTAGTGCGAAAAGTTTGTAATTTATGTGGGCAGAACGATTTTCTGTCCTAGTAAAAAAAAGTCATTTAGCTCAAAAAGTGTAAAACATTCTCGATAAAAATTCTAATTCTCGAAAAAAAGTATCCTTAATTATAGAATTTCCCATTATTGGTAAATTAAAAATATGTAAATCAAATTAACAACCACGATGATCAAACTTGAGTGCTTTGAAAGTGAAATGCATTCAAACTTGAATGCTTCTAAATGGAAAGCGTTTAATGCAAAACCGTTCTAATTTGAATATGCTTTCGCTTTAAATACACTTTTCCCTCTAAAACGAAATAACATCTTCTATATTAGTTGTAAATCGTTTAATTATTATTATTAATAAATAAAAAACCGTGGAAATAGTATCAGTGAAAAATAATATCAGTAGAAAATATCAGTAGAAAATAAAAGTAGAAATTAATATAAGTAGAAAATAATAGTAGTAGAAAATAATAGTAGAAAATAAAATAAAATACTAACAAATATTGATAATAATAGAGTAGAATAACTCTTTTTTTTGTATATATATTCTTTAAATGGTGCTTAAATTAACAAGCGAGTTGTAAATAAACTTTTTTTTGTCGATGTAAATAGAGAAAGAATATGAAAAGTAAGAAAACAATTGTCTCTAAGAAGATAAAGGAATATTTTTCTAAGAAACTTAAGTTTCTATTTTGTTCATATTATAAGCAGCTTTTCCGTAGTCAACCATTCAGAGGCTCTTAATACTACACCGGCACAGAAAGATTACCTGTCACAATTTGATTATCATGCTTCATGAGAGCATCGGGCGCGTGTGCACTAGAGATAAAAGGATTTTCGTTGTCAGCGTTTTCACTTTGTATAAAAGTGAAACAGTACTTTAAAACTGTTTCTTAAGTCTCGACTTCCATCCATTTTGTTATTATCTATTACTGTCATTTTTATTCTTTTTCATGTTATCTTGTATGCTTTTAATTTCATACTATTATCATTTTTCCTAACAGTCGATATCCCGAATATCCTTTGCTGTTAGGGTTAAAAAAATAATTATTACTCTCCCTTTTTTCCTTTTGGAGATGTTTAATAATTTACTCCAAATAAAAAATGTTCAACGAACAACTTTACTTTCAAAAATTAGCGAGCAGTAAGGCGACAAAACAAATTTTTCATCCTGTATTTTATTTAAAAAATTTTTACCACTTTTACATAAAATTGTAATTAATTTGTGAATATTCATAGCTTTCAAATTCAATTCATTAGAAATGCTTAATTAGTACAGTATATACATATGGAAGGATAAGAATGTATTCTGGAAAATTGTAATCTATTTTAATTATACGTAATTGAATGATTAAGAAAGCGTTTCAATGAAGGTTTATTTAACCTAAAGAGAGAAATTCCCGTATGCAGAGTGTACAAAACATTAAGGGGAGAGAAGATATATAAGTTGACCGCATATTATATAAATTTTAATTAATCTAAATTACTGATAATCAAGAAACCCTTCACAATAATTAATGCCAACATTTTTTCTATTCATTAAAAACTCTTCTCAACTATCTTTCTTCTTCCTTCTCTACTCGACCTTAATTTTACTTTTACTTCTCGATTTTTCTACCTATTCTTTTTGTATTTTTTTTCATTTTACATTTCACCCATTTCTTCAGAGTATCAAATTCTTTGTTCTGAATCAAATTGATACAAAAAATAATTTATGATCAATTTTTGATTTGATCCACATTTTTTGGTATCAATTCGTTGAAAATTGATACTATTATACAAATTAACAGTGATCTTATAAAATAATTTTATTTTAATTAATTTTTTTCTTCATTTTCAGTTTTCTTCAATTTTTGTGTTTCTTCAGTTTTCATCAAAGTAACAAATTGAAACTAAAGTAGGCAGATTAAAAATTGAGACAAATTTTTCGTATCAATTTGATATTTTCACTGTTCACTTGAAAGTATTAAATTGCAACGCAGATCATATCCCAATAAGATAAAAACATTTTTTAATTTTAAATTAAAATTTTCTTAAAAATCTTTAAACACAAGCAAAATTACAGAAAATTATTTAAATTCAAACGAAAATTGTTTACTGGTCCTAAACTATTAATAGAACAATTCCAATTAACATCTGGTTCATTAAATTTAATTTATTTCACAATTCATAAAAAGTAACCACAGCCGACAATCAGCAGAAGATGAAAAATTATTTTCTAAGCGAACTTAATTATCTGTTTACTAACTGTTAGTATAAAAAATTTTTACTTGTTCCAAACTATTGCTAGAACAATTCCAATTAATATCTGGTTCATTAAAATTAATTTATTTCACAATTCATAAAAAGTAACCACAGCCGATAATCAGCAGAAGATGAAAATTTATTTTTTGAGCGAACTATCTCTTCTGTTTACTAACAATTTTTAGTCATAACATTTTTTACTGGTCAAAAACTATTGCTAGAACAATTCCAATTAATATCTGGGTCATCAAAATTAATTTAATTCACAATTCATAAAAAGTAACCACAGCCGACAATCAGCAGAAGATGAAAAATTATTTTTTGAGCGAACTTAATTATCTGTTTACTAACAATTGTTAGTATAAAAATTATTTACTGGTTCCAAACTATTGCTAGAAAAAAATTTTCTCAAAAATCTTTAAA